CTATAATCTGATCTTCATAACGGCTTGGTTTTACTAGTTTGCATGCATATACATATATAGAAAAAATGATTTGGTAAAATTGAGAATCTTTAAATAAAAATTCTTCGCAACGAATGAACATTTGCTTGGTCTTTGATGATCATTGATTATCAATTCATCTGCCCAATAAAAAATCTGAAAAAAAAGAAAAAAAAAAGCACCGAAACACACCTACAAATCTAGATAACGGTAATAAACCTGTAAACATGAAGTTCTTTTATCACTATTTGCATCGCATTGCGACTTTTTTTTGTTTGCAAAAAATAATATTGCAAAAGCAATAATTCTTCATGTACTTGCACTAGTACTTATACTTGTACTTTCGCTTGTACTAGCTATTCATGAATCTATAATTATTACAAAAATGATGGATGAAAATTTCCTTTCTTGGAATTACAAGGAAATTTTATCTGTAAATCTTATGCAGAAAGATGTTACAAGCTACAAAAAAAGTATACAATCCAAACCACCTATAGCACAAAGTCGTCACGATCCAGTCTACACATGCACGAATAATTACACAACATATACATATACGGAAAAAACGATCTGGCAAAATTGAGAATCTTTAAATATTATAAGGTATGATCTACCAACCAACTAATCATGATAATCAGGATTAACAACCAATTAAAACGATGCTCACATATTTGAACAGGTGACATATTCCATGGAAAATCATTTACTAATGTTACGATAAAATGAAAAACTTATTTTTGCTGAACATAATATTGTTACTATGTCTCTTAAAGGCAAAATTTTATTTATCACTGGTGCTTCTCGGTAAGTTTATGTAACAGATTTATTGCAATTTTGATACATCAATGATAGCCATACTCATGTTTGTAAAGTGGGATCGGTCTTGCGATAGCCTTGAAGGCTGCAAAAGACGGAGGGTAAGTTTAATTATACTAACCTTCTTTCACAACAACACAATCGTATTGAACCTATCTTTATTACTGTTTAGGTGCATTGCTATAGCTGCCAAGACAGATATTCCAAATCCAAAGGTAATTAAATTAATTAAACTCAAACCATTGGATCATTGAGAAAAATTCATTATCATCTCGCGATTCGTTGGTATTTTCACTTCTTGTTATCTTGTAGCTTCCTGGAACTATTCATTCGGCAGCAGATGAGATTAGACGTGCGGGTGGAAAGGGTATGCAATCTTTTTTGGAGGAATTTGTAATAATAAAGTGAAAAAATATTTTTCATCTATTATGTAGCTCTTCCCTTAGTATGTGATATTCGTAATGAAGAAGCGATTAAAGCAGCTATTCAAAAAACTGTAGACACTTTTGGAGGGATTGACATAGTCGTTAACAATGGTACGTACAGTATTTATTATCTTGTTCTAACGACTTTTATTGCCAATTTACATGTTGATTATTTTACGACCGTAGCCTCTGCAATATCCCTCACTGACACCCAAGAAACCTCTCTTAAAAAATATAACCTTATGTACGAAATTAACTCGCGTGGAACCTGGTTAGTGACTAAGGTATTGTATAAACACGTTAACACGTGATATCATTATTAAAATTTTGCCCGATTAAAACTTAATTGTCGGCTTCCTTCAACGGCAGCATGCAATTCCACATCTTATTGAAAGTGGACGAAAAAATAGAAATCCGCACATTTTGAATCTTAGCCCACCGCTTACGTTAAAAGAGCATTGGTTTAAAAACCACTCTGCTTATACGACAGCGAAATTTAACATGTCGCTTTTCATATTGGTACTATTAATTTTTCGCATATCT